TTCAGGTGATCCACCCACCTTGGCCTCCCAAAGTGCTGGGATTACAGGCATGAGCCACCGTGCCTGGCCTCAACATTCTTAAAGAAAAAAATTTTCAACCCAAAATTTCATATCCAGCCAAACAAAGCTTCATAAGTGAAGGAGAAATAAAATCCCTTCAGACAAGCAAATGCTTAGGGATTTCGTCAGCACCAGGCCTGCCTTACAAGAGAGTTCCTGAAGGAAGCACTAAATATGGAAAGAAAAAAACGGTACCAGCCACTACAAAAACACACCAAAATATAAAGACCAATGACACTATGACGAAATTGCATGAACTAGTATGCAAAATAACCAGACAGTATCATGATGACAGGACCAAATTCACACATAACAATATTAACCTTAAATGTAAATGAACTAAATGCCCCAATTCAAAGACAGAGACTGGCAAATTGGATAAGGAGTCAAGACCTATTGGTGTGCTGTATTCTGGAGACCCATCTTACACTCAAAGACACAAACAGGATCAAAATAAAGGGATGGAGAAAAAATTACCAAGAAAATGGAAAGCAAAAAAATAAAAAATAAGCAGGGGTTCCAGCTAGCCGCTGAGAAAACAGACTTTAAACCAACAAAGATTAAAAAAAAAAAAAAAAAGAACGGAATTACATAATCGTAAAGGGATCAATTCAACAAGAACAGCTAACTATCCTAAATATATATGTGTCCAATACAGGAACACTCAGATTCATAAAACAAGTTCTTAGAGACCTACAAAGAGACTTAGACGTCTACACAATAATAGTGGGAGACTTTAATACCTCACTATCGATATTAGACAGATCATCAAGACAGAAAATTAACAAGGATATTCAGGATGTGAACTCAGCTCTGAACCAGTGGATCTAGTAGACATCTACAAAACTCTCCACCCCAAATCAACAGAATATACATTCTTCTCAGTGCCACAGGGCACTTGTTCTAAAATTAACCACATAATTGGAAGTAAAGCACTCCTCAGCAAATGCAAAAGAGCTGAAATCATAACAGTCTCTCAGACCACAGTGCAATCAAGCTAGAACTCAGGATTAAGAAACCCACTCAAAACCACCCAACTACATGGAAGTCAAACAACCTGCTCCTGAATGACTCCTGGGTAAACAGTGAAATTAAGGCAGAAATTAAGAACTTCTTTGAAACCAATGAGAACAAAGAGACAACATACCAGAATCTCTGGGACACAGCTAAAGCAGTGTTAAGAGGGAAATTTATAGCACTAAATACCCACATCAGAAAGCTAGAAAGATCTCAAATCAACATCCTAACATCACAATTAAAAGAGCTAGAGAAACAAGAGCAAACACATTCAAAAGCTAGCGGAAGACAAGAAATAACTAAGAGAGCAGAATTGAAGGAGATAAGACACAAAATCCCTTCAAAAAATTAATGATTCCAGGAGCTGATTTTTTGAAAAAATTAACAAAGTAGATATACTGCTATCTATTTTATCTATTTATTAACTAGACTAATAAAGAAAAGAGAGAAGAATCTAACAGACACAATAAAAAATTATAAAGGGGATATCACCACTGACCCCATAGAAATACAAACTACCATCAGAGAATACTATAAACACCTCTACGCAAATAAACTAGAAAATCTAGAAGAAATTGGTAAATTCCTGGATGCATACACCCTCCAAAGACTAAACTAGGAAGAATTCAATTCCTGAATAGACCAATAACGAGTTCTGAAGTTGAGGCAGTAATTAATAGCCTCCCAACCAAAAAAAGCCCAGGACCAGATGGATTCACAGCCAAATTCTACCAGAGGTACAAAGGGGAGCTGGTACCACTCCTTCTGAAACTATTCCAAACAATTGAAAAGGAGGGACTCCTCCCTAACTCATTTTATGAGGCCAGTATCATCCTGGTAGCAAAACCTAGCAGAGACACACACACACACACACAAAGAGAACTTCAGGCAAGCATCCCTGATGAATTTCAATGTGAAAATCCTCAATAAAATACTGGCAAACCGAATCCAGCAGCATATCAAAAAGTTTATCCACCATGATCAAGTAGGCTTCATACCTGGAATGCAAGGTTGATTCAACATATGTAAATCAAATCAATAAATGTAATCCATCATGTAAACAGGACCGATAACAAGAACCACGTGATTATCTCAATAGATGCAGAAAAGGCCTTAATGAAATTCAACATTCTTTCAATAAAAGGAATGTTAAAAACTCTCAATAAACTAGGTATTGATGGAACATATCTCAAAATAATGAGAGCTATTTATGACAAACCCAGAGCCAATATCATACTGATTGGGCAAAAGCTGGAAGCATTCCCTTTGAAAACCAGCACAAGACAAGGATGCCCTCTCTCACCACTCCTATTCAACATAATATTGGAAGTTCTGGCCAGGGCAGTCAGGCAAGAGAAAGGAATAAAGGGTATTCACATAGGAAGGGAGGAAGTCAAATTGTCTGTTTGCAAACAACATAATTCTACATTTAGAAAACCCCATTGTCTCAGCCCAAGACTCCTTAAGCTGATGAGAAACTTCAGTAAAGTCTCAGGATACAAAATCAATGTGCAAAAATCATGAGCATTCCTATACACCAACAACAGACATGCAGAGAGCTGAGTCATGAATGAACTCCATTCACAATTGCTACAAACAGAATAAAATAACCTAGAAATACAGCTAACAAGGGAAGTGAAGGACCTCTTCAAGAACTACAAACCGCTGCTCAAGAAAATAAGAGAAGACACAAACAAATGGAAAAACATTCCACCCTCATGAATAGGAAGAATCAATATTGTGAAAATGGCCATACTGCCCAAAGTAATTTATAGATTCCATGCTATTCCCATCAAACTACCACTGACATTCTTCACAAAATTAGAAAAAAACTACTTTAAATTTCATATATAACCAAAAAATAGCCTACATGGCCAAGACAATTCAAAGCAAAAAGAATAAAGCTGGATGCATCATTCCACCTGACTTCAAGCTATACTACAAGGCTACAGTAACCAAAACAGCAAGTTACTGGTACAAAAACAGACATGTAAACCAACGGAACAGAACAGAGATCTCAGAAATAACACCGTACATTTACAACCATCTGATCTTCGACAAACCTGACAAAAACAAGCAATGGTGAAAGGATTCCCTACTTAATAAATGGTGATGGGAAAACTGGCTAGCAATGTGCAGAAAACTGAAACTGGATCCCTTCTTTACAACTTACACAAAAATTAACTCATGATGGACTAAAGACTTGAATGTAAAGCCCAAAACCATAAAACCCCTAGAAGAAAACCTAGGCAATCTCATTCAGGATATAGGCATGGGCAAAGATTTCATGACAAAAATGCCAAAAGCAATTGCAACAAAAGCTAAAACTGACAAATGAGATCTAATTAAACTAAACAGCTTCTGCACAGCAAAAGAAACTATCATCGGAGTGAATAGGCAATCTACAGAATGGGAGAAAATTTTTGCAATATACCCATCTGACAAAGGTCTAATATTCAGAATCTACAAGGAACTTAAACAAATTTATAAGAAAAAAACCACTCCATCAAAAAGTGGGCAAAGGATATGAACAGACACTTCTTAAAAGAAGACATTTATGTGACCAGCAAACATATGAAAAAAAGCTCAATATCACTGATCATTAAAGAAATGCAAATCAAAGCCACAATAAGATACCATCTCATGCCAGTCAGAATGGCGATTATTAAAAAGTCAACAAATAATAGATGCTGGTGAGGCTGTGGAGAAATAGGAATGCTTTTACACTGTTGTGAGCATATAAATTAGTTCAACCATTGTGGAAGACAGTGTGGCAATTCCCCAAGGATCTAGAACCAAAAATACCATTTGACCTGGCAATCCTGTTACTGGGTATATACCCAAAGGAATATAAATCATTCTACTATAAAGACACATGCACACATATGTTTATTGCAGCACTGTTTCCAACAGCAGAGACATGGAACCAACTCAAATGCCCATCAATGATAGACTGGATAAAGAAAATGTGAGGCCAGGCGCAGTGGCTCACACTTGTAATCCCAGCACTTTGGGAGGTCGAGGAGGGTGAACAACTTGAGGCCAGGAGTTTGAGACCAGCCTGGCCAATGTGGTGAAACCCTATCTCTACCAAAAATACAAAAATTAGCCAGGTATGGTGGCAGGCACCTGTAATCCCAGCTACTCAGGAGGCTGAGGCAGGAGAATCACTTGAACCCAGGAGGCGGAGGTTGCAGTGAGCTGAGATCGCAGCACTGCACTACAGCCTGGGTGACAGAGCACGACTCCATCTCAGAAAAACAACAACAACAACTGAAAATGTGGTACATATACACCATGGAATACTATGCAGCCATAAAAAGGAATGAGATCATGTCCTTTGCAGGGACATACATGAAGCTGGAAGCCATCATCCTCAGCAAACTAACACAGGAACAGAAAACCAAAACCAAACACCACATATTCTCACTCATAAGTGGGAGGTGAACAGTGAGAACACATAGACACAGAGAGGGAAACAACACACCCCAGGGCCTGTCAGGAGGTGGGGGGTGAGGGGAGGAAGAGTGTCAGGACAAATAACTAATGCATGCAGGGCTTAAAATCTAAATGACGGGTTGATAAGGGGCAGCAAACCACCATGGCACAAGTATACCTATGTAACAAAACTGCACATTCTGCACATGTATCCCGGAACTTAGAGTTAAAAAAAAAAAAAAAAAGAAAATCAAAAAAGTCCTGGCCATTATTCCCAAACCTGGGTGGGCAGAAATGTTCCTGGGAGAGGTGGGCAGACTAAATGCAGATCCTGGAGTTTCACCTCCAGGGATTCTAGCTCTGACACTCTATCCTGAGTCTCAGGAAGCTCAAGTTGATTAAAACGCCCATCTTAGTCTGTTTTGCGCACCTATAACAGAATACCTGAGACTGAGTAATTTATGAAAAACAGAAACTTACTTTCTCATAGTTCTGGAGGCTGGGAAGGAAGTTTAAGATCAAGGCACCAGTAGGTTTTGTGTCTGGTGAAGGTCCAGTCTCTGCCTCCAAGCTGACGTCTTGAAGTCTGTGTCCTATGGACAGGAGGAATGCTGTGTCCTCACATGATGCAAGGCAAAAGGGCGAAAAGGGATAAACTCCCACCATCAAATCCTTTCGTAAGGGCACCAATCCCTTTCACGAGAAAGGAACCCTCGTGGCCTAACCACCTCTTAAAGGCCCCACCGCTTAATACTACCACATTGGCAACACCTGAATTTTGAAGGGGCCACATTCAAACCATAGTAATGCCTGTGGTCCTAGAAACTCATTCTGAGAAACTCCATTCTTACTGCTTACTGTCAGAGAGCAGATACAAGTATAGACTGTAGGCAGGGTTCACAGAAGCAGCAGATTTGAACTACCCCTTGAACTAAGCCTTAGAATATGGATAAGAAAATCCTCCCAACTTACCTGTTTCCCTAGACCAGGCCTTCATGGTTTACCAGCTGCCTAATCTCCAGCTAGAAAGTGTTCACTGAGGATTTACATGGATCCTGGGCTCCATTCACTAGACCTCACCCGTCCCACTCAAGCACCACTGAGTCTGTTTCTAACTTAAAATGAGACCCACCCTATTGCTCAACTTCAAGGAGCAACACCTGCTTCCTTTGTAATCCAATCCACGAAAGGGAGGAGCCATGGAAAGGAGCTTTCGCTGGTACATAGCTCACACAGGGGTGACTCCAAAATCACAAAACATAGGACTGAGTTTTGTGAGCACAGAATATGACTCCTTCCCATGCTATGGTCCCAGAGGAGGCTTTTTACCCTTGTATAGGGAGTAAGGTGAAATTGCCAGGCCATAAGCCAGCTGCAGGGCCAGCCCCCATTGCCCCGTATTAGCACATATCTAGCACACGTGGATTATTTAAGAGAGTCAATTAAAAGTCAGGGTACGTGTTCCCTGTATTTGAATCTGCAATAATCCAGGCCAGAGGACCTTTACTGATGAGAATGTTGGAAATTATTGTTTCTCTTGTGAATTTCCAGGATCTTGGAAATATGGAAGCAGTCTAAATTCAGTCACTTGGGGATTTTGATGGATTGTTTGATTAGATTTTTCACAGATCAACATGTAGTCTCTTTGAAGAACTGTCCCAGGACTCCAAGTCAGCAGAATTGTCAAGCTGACAGTCTTTGCTCCTCCTGAAAGGGAATTTTGTCTGACCCCCTTTTGACTGTCTTCCACGCTGAGAGATACATCCAGAAATTCAGAGAAGCATAATCTATGTCCTTTAACCAGAAAAGAGGCTAAACACAAAAACCCATGGAAATCCTACTCTTGCAGCCTTTCTTCCAAATGCAAAGAGTGCATAAAAGTGAAAAACCTCCTGCTCCTAAGACGCTTCTCTAGAGGCCTGGCTTCTTCATAATTCACAGAACCGTTAGCCTAGGAAAAACTTCAGGCTGACAAGGGGGAGAAACTGAATTCCTCTAGAATTTTCCTAATGAGATACCTTAAAAATTGCACTGTAATCCCAGATGGAGCAGAGTGGATCCAACAAGCCCTGGAGGTGGCCTTCCCCTCACCTGGCTAGGGAGCCCAGAACATGTCCCTTCTGAGGCTCTTCTCTGGGCCTCAGTTGCCCTTCAGACAAAAGAGGGTTAGAGAGTCCTCATGTCTACCCCAGAAGACAGTAAGTCAGGACATGATTAAACAAACGTCTCTTATGAAGGTACTTGGGAAAAAAGTCTAATAAGCTCTATAAACAGAGAGTTTCTCCACATTCTCAATGTTCATATTGCCTTTAATGCAGACACTCAATCTATCCTGGGGGTGGTGAGTGAGGAGCGACATTTGGCAATAATTTGCACTACAGATAAATACACCCACCTTGACATTTTCAAAGCCTGGCTCAGAAGAAAAAGTCCCTTTTTTCCCTGAAGCATTAAGAGAAAATGTGCATGATTATCATCTGTCTTAAAAAAAAAAAAATGAGGAAAGAAAGAGGGAGGGAAAAGGAATACAGTTGAACTGACACCGAGAAACTCACCATTTTATTCTGCACAATTGAACTTCATTAATCATAGAAAATCAGAGATGGAAAAGACCTATTAGGTCACGCCATCTATCCCTCTGAAAGCATTAAAAGCTTTCAAATGAGACAGAAATCGGAGGTCCTGACTGCTGATGGCCATTAAAGATAGTTTTTGTGAAGAAAAATGTTAACCTTCGTGTCTCTGACAAATTACACTCTGGGTGCTTACGGGCTGCCTTTGCCAGAGCACCCCAGTTCTGGGGTTGGAGGTCACCACCCCTTAGCATGAGTGCTGCTAAGTGGCTTCGGCAGGGACCCCTATTAGATAACCAGCACTCATTGACAGCGAGGACCCTGCATGAGCAAGCATGGCCCAGTTTCCTGCTCTTCCTCTGTTTTCCATGCACAGAGGAAGGATGCCGTTTCCTCTCCAAAACAGCTTTCATTCAGGTCCTGCTTTTCCCAGGGAGCCATCCTCTGGCTAGCCCACAGTGCGGCCCCTTTGCTGAGTCTTTACATCTTTCCATTCTGGGCCTCACCGAGCAGCCCTGGACTACAGATGGAACACCTGCTGTTTCAAGATGTCCCAGATCTCTTTGCCCCTTCCTCTGGCCAGAGCCCGATTGCAGGGAATTGTCTTTGTCACACTCCATGTGGCTGTGGTGAGGCTGAACCCCCCTTTCTAGTTCTTAAGAGTGGTCACATACCCCAGCCTGCTCATCATAGTAGCTCAGCCCTCTGACTACCGTTATTGGCCAGGGATAAACACATGGCCCAGGCTGCTCCAATCTAGGTCATTCTCTGGCAAGAGAAGCTTTCTCTTTCCTCTGACGACATGAAGGTGGCACAATACAAATCTGAAACTGCAGTAGTGGCCACTCCCACTGCATGGAAGCAGCTCATGTAATCAGAAGAGAATGAAGACAACACATGAGGAGGCAGACAGAGCGCTGTGGGCACCTCAGGAGTCCCCAAAGACAAGCACTCCTGTTTTTTCTCAGTTATGTAGCCAATAAATTAAGCTTCTACACTTAAGCTACAGTCATGCATCACTTAATGTTGGAATACATATTGTTAGACAATTTTGTCATGAATATTGTAGGGTATACTGAACAAACCTGGATGGTATAGTCCACTCCTAGGCTGTATGGTAGAGCCTATTGCTCCTAGGCTAAAACGTGTACAGTCAGTATGTTACTGTACTGACTACTGTAGGCCAATGTCAAACAATGGTAATGGTACATCTAAATATACCTAAATATAGAAAAGGTACCATAAAAATATATTATAATCTTATGGGACCACTATCATATATGTGGTCTATCATTGATGGAAACATCATTATGTAGTATATGACTATGCCTTGAACTTAATTTCTCTCCCTGGGACCTGTGGAGTCCTAATTACCAAATGCCCACTAGGTTCTGCCATTCTACACTTGTTTACATGTGGAAATCTTGAATCCCCAACAAGAACGATGGCTCCAAGGGGGCAGAAATCTTGTTTACTCCTTCTCTTCCGTGCCAAAGCCCAAGCTCCACCCAGATGGTCATTATTAAATAGCAGTTCATTGAACTGGATCCAAGTATCTTTGCCTGCAGGAACTTGACTTTACTTTTCTTTCCTGCAGGGACTGCTGGTAGCTGAGAAGCATCATGAGTCACACCCCACAACTCACTAGCTGAGTGACACACAAATACATGCATCCTCCTCTAAAGATGCAATAAACATGGCCCAGCAGGTTGCTCATGGCACTGGCCTCCTCTTCCCCAGGATATCTTGTGCTGTGGTTTTTCATTGAGGGCTCCATTTGTATTTTAATACATCATACATGACTCTGCTTATACCAACCAAAGGCTGTTTCCTTTATTTCCTTCCTATAACATCTTCTTGCTGTTGTGGTCATGAATCAGGCCCAGCTTGGGTACCTGCCCTACAGGGCCAAGGGCAGAATTTGATGAGAAGAAATTATAATAAAAGCAGAGGAGACATCAGAACTATTTATCCCAAAGGCAGAAGGTGACAAGAACAAATTAGTCTTGGTGACACATAAGAAATAACTGAAGTTAAGACACTAAACAAAATCACAAAACTTTTATGCCCCCTCCCTCTCCTGTGGCATCACCTGCTTCCTGCATCCCTTCTCTAGGGCTTTACCATCCAAAGTCACCTTCTCCCTTGTGTCTCTGAAGGACTCCCAAAACATTCATGTGGCCAACCTCAGATAGGCATCAAGAGATTACCTAATGGAACCCATTTTTCATTCATCATCCCAGCAGGGAGTTGTATATTTCGCCTTTGCTTTTTAACACTGATAATAGCAGCACACACTTATATACAACTTCCTAGGTGCCAGGCACCATTCTAACTGCTTTACAAAGATCAACCCATTTCGTCCTCACAAGAACCTCAGAGAGAGAGCTAATATAATCACCAGTGAGGTTAGGTAATTCACTCACATCCGCATGGCTGATAGACAATAGTACTGGCATTGTTTTTTTTTTTACAAGAAAACATCTGTAGTCAACAGAATTAGGAAGATGATGCATTATTTTAAGTAGGGGATCAGTCGGGGTATTGAAAGTTTAGAAAGGAGAATTAGGAAAGTGGGAAAGATAAACCACAATGGGCAGGCAGTTGGGGCTTACCGTGTAGAGGGGAGCAACCACACAGAATTTGGACAAGAAGTATTTGAGAAGCCTGGAGGTGGACAATAGCAGATTCATTGCATCCAGCAAGTCAACTGGTGGGTTGGGCAGTAGACACTCCCCGAGGAGGGCAGCACAGGTAGCAGAGGCACCTCACAGATGCTGTGGCTCCAGACTGGCCCTGGGCAGGCTCTGGGATGGCCGACCCTGGTGAGAATGGTACAGACCAGGGAACAGAGATATCAATCAGAGTTCTAATAGTTAGGACTCTTCTGGACTGAGACTTTGTCTGTATGTAGAAATATAATTTGAATTTCAAATGTTGGTACATACAATGGTGAGAATGTGGGGATTCACGTATTATAATAATAAATTATTTTGATAATTTTAATTATACTCAGTAAAACACACGATTTATATTTAATTGCCTTGCTTAAATGAAATAAAGTGGTTGAACTATAATTGTTACATACAATATAGAATTCACATTATAAACTAAAATAATTCTATTATCATAAACAAGTAAATGATTTTGTTAGCAATTGCACATTGCATATGTTTGACCTTAAGGTTTTTTCACATCCAGGTTGATGCTAAGGTTTCTCAGGTGGAGGTCTATTTTGTAAAATTTTGTACCTCATTGCCAAATCAGGATGTGCATGGCCCCCACCTGGGTGACAGGTGGGCTGATTGTCAAAAGGAAACAATCTCCTGGTCCTTGACAGGTCAGCTTCAGCTGAAGAAAGGATTACCTCCATTTCTTAAAGCAACTTTTTATTAAGGTATAATTTACCTATAATATATTACAAACATTTTTGGTGTACAAGTCAGTGAGTTTTGACAAATTTGTGCACCCACTTAACCATCACCACAATGCATGACCACTGAATTGAAAATAAAGAAATGCAAATAGGTACAGGACAGACAAAGAATGTTTCTAATGATAAGGAATAGGATAAATCCACGGAGATTTAAAAATTTATAAATAAGATTTTAAACCCACACAGATTTGTTGGTAATGGGTTCAGAAGCACTTAGGGCAATGACTGACGCTTCAGGCTTACTATGGGGAAAAACAGAAGAGATAGAGGAATGTGTCAGAAAGTAATCTAAAAACAGGAAACCAAAAACTTTAAAGATGTTCACTGATTCTGAGTCTTGCTCCAGTTAACTCTGTGGATTGATGTGTTGGAACAGACCAAGTGTGGGACAGCACTATCTATAGCTGTATTTTATGAATCAAATTAAAAGACTAGGCTCAGTGATCCTGCATGTGACCACTAGCCATCACTGGCCAAGATGTCTCTCAAAGTCGCAGGTCTCTACATGACCCCTCATCACTCTGGATCCTAAGAGGTTAAGCCTTAGACATTGCTAATGTGACTGCAAGGGAAGGCCAAATTGTTGAGCACAGTGGGATTAAATGTCTATCAACTCTCTTGCATTTGATTCTCTCAGTACTCTTCAATTGTGGGAAATCTTAACCCTGTGGTTAAGGTTATTTTGGGAGCCAAGGACATCTCCTGCCAAAGACCAAGAGTGATATTTACCATTAGGATCCAACAGTTGAACGCAGCTATTTTCTGAGACCTGTTTCCTACAAGATGAAAACAGCAAACTGCCTCTCTCAGAAGTACGGGTGCAAAGAGGACAAGAGGGTGACATTTCAGATGCTCTCAGAGCCTGGAGGACCTGGAAAGCACCTCACCTTTAGCCAAGAGAACTCTAAACATTTCCACTCTTCTTGAGTCTTCAACTCCAAGTTTGACTCTGTCAGTCTCTGAAGACTGACACTATTCTAAACTAATAAATTTAAATACATGTATTATTCATCCAATGTGTACTGACACTCTGCTCCTAAGAAACTGACATATCCATTGAAGAGACAAGACATATGGTAATGAAAACATAGATAATGAGTAATGGGCACAACTAGGACTGAAGGAATTCAAAGGTATCTAATATCACAACAGATATTGGATATAATTTACAGTAAGACTTCCCATTCTCCTTCTATTAAACAGAAACTTAAATTTTTTATACCCAACTCAAATTTCTCTTGCCTTAATTTTCCCTCACAGGGCCCTGTACAGGCATGGAACTAACTAACTCAATACCAACTAACTCGTAAAGTTCACTAATTCCTAAGATAGAGATTTCCTTTAGAAAAAGACAGACAGAAATACATTTTTAAAGTATTTCTTCCCTGGCTCCTTCCCTAGTTTTTTTTTTTTTTAAAGCCCTGTTTTTCTTAGTCCCTAAATGTAGATTTCTTTAATATTCTGACCTTACTTGTCCTCTCTATTCTTTTCATACTCTTTCCTGAAACTCTCAAACACTCTTAGAGCATTAGGATGGTAAAAGATCTTATGATTCCATGGACATTATGTGAGAACATACCGTGTTGCAGACACCAAACTGAGGTCCATACAGAAAACTGACTTTCTGAGGCCATACCAAAACTTGATTTGGGAAACAATGATAAAACCTCTGTCTATAACAGCAAAAATCAAACAAAACTGACTTACATGGCTTTTCAGCTTTTCATGGCTTTCACTGAACCGGTTGATGGGATGTTTTCGGATTATACAGACACAAAGTCAGTGCTCTAGCCTTGTGCTATTGTGAACAAGTTTAGACTAATGACTGGATATTCAAAGATGAGCATCCACTTTATGGTGGAACATATTTCTTCTTGAGTCATCTAAGATCAACACCTCTAAGAATATACATTTTTTAGCTATTTTATTAACAAGGAAGACCCACATTGTCAAATATAAATCCTTGATTCCTTTTCTTTTAGCAAACTAACAGGTATAATACATTTTTCAAATAAAAAAGGGATATATAACTCCCTAGTTTCCTCTCTCTTCTGCTTCCTTCATCTCCCAGGTGATAACAAGATCCTTTGAGAGTGGATAAGAGATCTATGACCGGTGCTGAAAATTGGCTCTAGTAAGCAGAATAGAAAGGCCACTGGACCGGTCATTTTACTCAAGTTCCACTATTAACTCACTAACCATATTACCCTCAGCAATACACTTAATCCTTAGGATTAATTGTCAAACGAGTAATACACGTCCTGCCCACCTAGAGTGATCATTCTTTCTAAACCAAATACCTATATACATATGTGAAGTCCAAGCACCCCTATATATGCTATGGTTCCTTATTTCTCCACCATCTATAATGGTAGATGTTACCTTTATTTACTCGGTATCAAAGATAGAAAAACTGGGATTCAGCCTATAGAAGCCCCATAATCTATTTTTTCAACACAACCACTTGATCCTTCTTTCATAATATGTTGTGAAGTCTTGCTTCTCCATCTTCTTTCTCTATTTTAGACTTTTATCATGCATCATCTGGATTGTCCCATGGTTCCTAGCTGGTCTTTGGAGCTGCCTGCCTCCTATCCTTGTATTCCAAGTAATTTTCCACTATTACCAAAGTGACATGTTTAAAACTTATATCTGATTATATCATCCTCTACTTAGTAGCCCTCAATTGCATTGCCTTCATAAAAGCATTAATGTTCTTGGGTGATACTAAAACGTTCTTCACCATCTCTATCTCCACAATCCCATCTTTGCCCATACTATCCCCTCTGCCTGTGTCTTCATTTTATTCCTCATTTACTTTGGTCTTTTCTCACCCCACATCCTCACAGACCCAATTTTCCTAGCATTCTTCGTACCTCACAATACCATTGCTATTGTATTTGCTTAAATAAGCAAGCCTTTTTCATATTCCCAAGTTTCAAGAACTTTGAAGTTCTGAGATTAGCCTGCCATAGTTTTATGGATACTTGTAGAAGACATAAGACGCCCGAATCAGAGAAGAGAGACAATTTATTCCTCATAGCATTGCAGGAGCCAGAGCATCAGCATTTGTTCCAGTTCCCAATTCCTGTAGGATAACTTGAAGGGGCCTAAAAGACATCTACAAACACTGTGAACCATGTTATAGGAGAGGAATTCTGAGCTTATGGAAGCCAAATCTTTTGTAATGGGTAGTAAGCACACCCGCCTTTTGCTCCTGAAAAACAGATTATCTTTATCTTTCAAGATTGTCTGTTACATAACATCTTTGACAAGAAAGTCTAAAACAAGGGATAATGAGTGCATCAATTAGATGTGCAGAAACTTGAGAGACCCATAGAGAACTATCTTCCAACACATTGAACATTCCGTGATCATAGTTTTTATAACGCTGAGTTCCTGTTAACCTTAGAACTGTCTATCTCTGTCGTTAGATGTTGAACTTTGTAACAGTAGAAATTGAACCTTGTTATTCTGGGCTTTACATAGCACATAACACATAGTTGGGTCTCAAATGTATATGTTGAATAATAATATGATAATCTAATCTAGATAAAATCTTAGATGCACATCAATTTGGGCATCTTTAAACAGAGAACTCATGTAATTTCAATTAGATAAAAATGTGAAGTTTTCTATAAAGTTATAATGAGCTATAGTGAGGTAAGATCTTTTTAAAGTCTCCAAATTTTTTCTCCAAATTATTTTCTTATTTTCAAAATGGAGTAGTTGAGATGGAATCTTGCTCTGTCACCCATGCTGGAGTGCAGTGCTGCCATTTCAGCTCACCGCAACCTCCAGTTTCTGGGTTCAAGCAATTCTCCTGCCTCAGCCTCCCGAGTAGCTAGGATTACAGATGCACTCAGCTGATTTTTGTACTTTTAGTAGAGACAGGGTTTCAGTGTGTTGGCCAGGCTGGTCTCAAACTTCTGACCGCAAGTTACCCACCCGCCTTGGCCTCCCAAGGTGCTGGGATTACAGGTATGAGCCTCTGAGCCCAGCCAAGAGTAGTTAAATTTTAATATTTATTTTTAAATCAAAGCCTCACTCACAGGTCTCCATTTTCTCAAGATTTATTTGAATTCCTGTAAGATAACATATCCCACACCCACATTGTCTTCAAGGAAAAATTCCTGACAGAAATAGTTGTTATTTCTACTTCCATAGACTCCTTTCAGTTACGTGAACACAAAAAAATCCATGAAAGAATATGAGGAAATTTTCGGAGGTGATGGATATGTTTACTATCTTAAATATGGTGTATACACATATCCAAATCCATCAAAATGCATATATTAAATATGTGCAATTCTTAAAATATCAGATCTTAAAATATCAAATATTTATATCTCAATAAAGCTTTCAAAATAAAATATTTTT